GTGCACACCTGAGTGAACAGAAGTGACTGCCCATGTGAGTAGATTGCACGCGTGTGAGTAAACACAGGCACGTGTGTACATATGTGTGTATGAGTCTATGTGGTGAGCTCCTCTTGGTGGGCTGCAGGCCCAAATGTGAGTGTGTGTGTAAACGTGTGCTGGGCACAGGGCCGGGCCAGTCCGGGTGTGATGCATGGTTTGGAGAGACCTGGGGTGCTGGGGACACAGCAGGACAACACGCCCCGCCCCCAGTACCTCAGTCCACACCAGGGACAAGAGAGCCAGCACACCAGCTCTGTAAGTTCCCCCACTGGGTGTGGGGTGGGTGCAGGGCTGCCATGCTGCAGCCAGAGTGGGAAAGGACAAGTGAAGGCCAGAGAGTGGAAGCTGAGCACCCCCCCACCTCGGAGGTGGGGGGGTACTCAGGGCTGCCTTCCTGCAGCTCCTTCCCTCCAGCCCAGACCAGCCAGGGACTACAGAGGAGGTGGGAGGGAAGAGAGGCCTCCCTGGCAGTTCAAGAGCTGGACACAGGGGTGCCAAGCCAGGCCTTGCCCTGTGGCCCCGGCTGTAGGGGCTGAGGCCGTAGGCACAGATCCAGACCCAGGGCTGGGCTCCCGGGGTGGGGACAATGGCTCAGCCCTGCCCAGTTCCCACGGCCTCGAACCTGCCCTTCCCTCTGCAGTGGGGCTCTTCCCTGGGAGCCAGTAAGGCCCAGTACTCACATCACACAGGCCACCACCGCCCTGGACACAGAGGCCTCCTGGACGCCCACTAAGTTAGCACCTCCCATCCGTGGGCCCTTTCCCACCTCACTTTTCTCTGGAGCATCCCCACTCACCGGCATGGAAACTTCCTTTCTTCCTTCCTCTCCCTCCACACAGGATGCAAGTTCCAGGAGAACAGGGCCAGAAGCCGCCTCTGCTCGCGGCCCCTCCCACACCCCAGAGCAGTGCCAGGCACCCTGTCAGCCTCTACAGATGATTGTCGGGAATGGATCACTAACACACTTCCCAGTACGTGCTTTAGGAACACTGTTGTATTACTTTGACTTTCGGCTTCTTTTTTTTCTTCCTTTTTAAAGAAAGAATTCATTCGGAAAACACTACACAGCACGTGTCCACAAACTGCAGGGTACACTACTGTATTAAAGGCTATGACAAATCCTGCAAAAACAGAACCCACTTAACTGTACTTGACACAGAGCTTCCTGGACCACAGCATCCCTTTCCCAGAGCTCCTGGCATCCACAGAGCTGGTGCAGTCTCTGGCCCCTCCTTGGGCCCTGCTTCTCCATCCTGCAGCCTCTGATGGACTGAGCCCAGCCCACATGGAGAGAGCTCTAGATGGAGCCATGGGTGGTCTTCCTAGCATGGTCTTCTAGGCACCCATTCCATCTCAGGGTCCGCACGCAGGGGTCTGAGGGGTTGAGCTGCTCCAGGCCAGGCACCTCCTCTGGGCACTCAATAAGGGTGGCCAGGACCCAGGGTGATCGTGGTGGAAACATGGGGAGGGTCCAGCAAAATCTGTCATCTGATTGGGATGGAGGTGCAGTTCAGAGGCCACTGAACAAGAGGACGGGCACCCCAATAGCAGAGCCCATCTGCCCCCCCGGGCACACATGCTTGGGGCCCACAGACCCTGGGGAAGCCCCTGGCCATCAGACAGCCCCTGCTGGCACTTTTCAGTCACCTCCAGGTCACACCTGCTGCCATGTGGGTCTTGGAGAAATCCCACCGAACACTAGAAGCTTCCTGCTGTCCTCCGGCATGAACACCATGAGGACCTGAGCTTGTCACACATGTGGCCGAGTTTCCAGGTCATATCCGTGGCTGATGGAGGGGGCGGGGCCAGCAGGAGTCAGCATCACAGGGCCCTGCCCCAACCTGCTCACTTCTCAGGATCCCCCAACTGCAGAGAGCCTAGACTGGATACAAGGGAAAGTGCTGAGGAAGCTAGACTGGGGAGATGGTCAGGAAAGAATGGGACAGATAGAAAGGGAGAAAGGGGGAGGGTGGGGGCAAAGCCGGAGAAGTGGACCCCAGGGGCCCCTCTGCAGGCAGGGAGGGCCCTTTGCCTCATCACTGGCCCCTCCACTCGCAGGAAATCGGAGGTGACACTGACCCATCTATTGGCCTGACGCCTGCTGACGTGTGGCCAAGAGGGGACCAAAGGCAGCCACCCACTCTCACCTGATCCCTGAGGCAGGGCTTCCCCAGGGCTGGGGGCTCCGGCACCTGTAGGGACCCTGGGTCCCCCAACCCCAAGATGGGTGCCTGATTCGATTCTGCACCTGCCCCAGGGCCCCCCATGAGAGCCCCAGGTGTGAAATGCACAAAGGACACGGGGAAGGCTCTGGCCCCATGAAGCTGGGAAACCAGCCTGAGCAGCTACAGGCAGAGGGACCCCAGGGGCTCAGCTACAGCATGGGGCAGCTGAGAAAGGCCCTGGCCACCCACCTCTCCCCCTTCTTCCTCCTCCCCCTCCAACTTCCTCCTGCTCTGGCTCCAGTCACTCCACACAACACCAGTGCCCATCTGGCTGGCCTAGTCTGCCCATCCTCATACATCAGGGTCACTTCAGCATCTGCCAGTAGCAGCTGGCCTCCCCACAGACCTGAGTCCCCCATGGGCCTGAGACCCCCACAGACCTGAGATCCCCATGGGCATGTATTGTCCGTAACCCTAACCTAGTCCCCCTGAACTTTCAGTGCTCCAGATCAGCTGAGCATAAACCGAATGAATGAATGGATGAAAAAAATGAATGAGTGTACCAGTGAGCTGGTGCTGGGGGCAGGATCCCAGCTCTATCCCTGCTCCTTCACGTGCTGGCCACCCAGATGCTGGGGGGACAAGTGAGTGTCCCAAGAGGTCAGATCACAGTGCTCTTCCCGGATAACTAAAGCAAACAGATACAAGCCAGGTATATAAATAAATAAATCTCACCCTAAAACTGAATTTTTAAAAACCAACCAAGAAAGCGAGAGCCTCAAGTTCAAGATAAACGTGGGGACCCTGTCCTGTGTCTTCTGGCTGACGTGACAACCTGGACCTCCCGGGCCTGACCCAGTAACCAAGATGCATCCCACCACCCCACCACCCCAGCCCTGCCCCCAACCAGGCTGCCCTGGGAGGGTCCCCGCTGAGACCACTCCCTGCACTGAAAAGTCCCAAAGGTGGGCCCCTTAGTCCTGGACTGGTTCAGCAACCCCTGATCCTCAAGTGGTGTGACTGCATCCTCCTCTTGCCAGCCAGCCAGCCAGGGCAGGGCCACCTCGAGCATCCTGTGGTATCTGCACAGGCAGAACCACAGGCCAGGCCCCCCAGGCTGGAGCTGAGACGAGCAGCTCCTGGCGCTGTAGATCCAACCCAATGCTGGCGCCCTGTTCCTGAACGGCCAGCACTGGACGGTCTCTGCAGTGGGCCTCCAGGGGTCTGGACGGCCCTTGGGCCTTTCCACTCCCCCCACCCAATCCTGGGATGGTCACTCCAAGACACCGGTGACACTGAGGGTCACTGGGCTCCAGATAAGGGGTGCACAGCGGATGCCAACTGTGGGACACTGCTGTGCAAGCCTTCACCTGCCCCTTCCCCTGCCCTACCCTGCCCGGAAGTCTCCACCCCAGGCCAGCCACGTGGGGATGCACCCACATCCCTCCCCATAAACCCAGGGGACGCAGACCAAGACCCCACTTTCTCTTCCACAGAGGTCACCATTGTGATCAGACAGCCACGGAGAGGAAGGTTGTCAGAGCTGGACACTCCCCACACTCCAAGGACCGCTGGCCAGCACCACCTGCCCCCACGCCATCCCCCCAAGGCACGTCTGGTCCTCTCCCCCCGCCCCTTCCTGGAGAGAATTATTCATTTCCTCTCCTGGACAAACATCACCACATCCTCTACTTTCCCCCTTTCCTGCTGGAGTCCACAGAGCGCATCTGTGGCCCCTGTTTATGGACCACCCCCCAGGGACCAGAGGACAGGTGGGGACACGACCCCGGAAGTCTGGTTTCCACCCCAGTCACAGAGCAGGCCACCCGAGGTTAAACCCCACGCTGTGGGGAGCCACGAACCTGCCACCCTCCATGGTGCAGCCCAACCTCACCCTGTCTGGATGCCCCGGAGCTGTTTCAGGGGCTGCCCAACCTGTGGGCCAAGCTCTCAGGAGGATGGCTGCCTCCACCCACCTTGCCAGCTTCACTGGTGGGCTCACCTATGCCCATACCCATAGACCAGGAACCCTCCCCCAACACCTCCGGCAGCTGGACTCCAGCTCCACCTGCTCCGTTTACAAAACAAAGGTTCACAGCCGCCCACTAGGATCAGAACCCGATTCCTGTCCCACCTCTGGGACCCTCAGTGGGGTCCCGTGGAGGGTTGCAGGCTGCCTGTGGTCCTGTGCAGACACCCAGGGGCTGCCGCTCCCCCCGCATCCATCAGGACCCTTCTCTCTGAGGGAGGCAGGATTGACATTCTATCCAGCAGAGAGGAGACTGAGGACCAGGGTGCCCACGAGGTGGCAGGGGGACAGCACAGAGCTCCTCGCCCAGGCCCTGGGCAGAGCAGCAGAGGGACCCGGAGAGCAGGGCGTGGGCGTGGGCACACGGGCAGGTGAGCAAGGGGTTCACACTATATAACACCAACCCCAAGCCAAGCTCAGGGGCGTCTGAGCCCACTGACACCCAGACATGGCCCTGGGGCCACCCTTGGCCCCCTCCCTGGTGCCGTGCAGACGGCTCCCTGCCCTCCAGCTCTGCACCTCCACGAGCCCCAACTCTCTCCGTCTGCAGCTCCTGCAGCATCGGGCCAGAGAAGCATCGCTGGTCCTCCCCTTCCGTCAGTTCGTGTGAGCAGTCTCTGGGGAGCAGAGTGGCTAAGCCAGTGGCTCTGAAGTCTCCCCCGCAGCCGTGAGATGCTCCATCGTGTGTGGCAGCGGGACCAACCCCCAGAAGACTGACTGAGGACGTAGCCTCCATGGGGGGAGCGGGGGTGGGGGGCACTCACGGGAGAGGCAGCCCTGGCTCCCTGGCTGCTGGCTCCACCCCGGGCAGCACCGGAACACCGTCTGGGCCTCAGTGGAGTACACCTGCCTGTAGCCCGTGTAGTAGATGGTTCTAGAAGAGAAGGGAGAGGGGAGCATTACTGCCAAGGGACCGGGCTCCAGGCATTTCTACCCGGTACTTCTGGCTCCCGCCACAACTCATCTCCCCAACTCCCCCACTGTCCCCGGTTCACAGCCAAGCAGGCCAGGGCACTGAGGTGGGCAGAATGTCTGCATTCCCGTGGCCGTGCCACATAAATGAGGGGCACTGGGTGGGCACAGCCATCCTGGAACCAGCGACATACCACCCTTCGCCCTCACCCCCATGGTGGTCCCAGCTCTAAATGACCTTGGGACGGGCATTGTGCCCCTCACGTGGCTCTCAGCACCAGGCCAGTCTGCGAGGGTCTGAGGGTCAGACTCAGTGCCCAGCCTAGGAGCAAGAGTGGCCCCTGGGATGACCAAGTGGGCCAAGCTGCCCAGTGCTGGCAAGCTGTGCCCCAGGCTCCCAGCCAACCAGTGCACCAAGGAGCCGGGCAGCGGGCTAGTCCTGGGGTGTCCCTGGGGACGAGCCCCTTCCCCACTAAGGGCTGAGCTGGGGAGGCAGGCCGATGAGGGTCAAGCATCTGTGGGCAGCAGCAGGACCCGAGTGTGCTCAGCACACAGCACCAAGGTCAGAAGGGGCAGGTGGGAGGGCTTCTTGAAGGAGGGTGCTCTAGAGGCCGGGGTTCCCTGGGCCCAAGGCTGGTTCCTGCTCCAGTGGGACTGCTACGGCCTCACAAAGGCTGAGCAGAGAGGGGCAGAGTCCTCCTTCCAGGAGCTGGAAGCAGGCAGCCAATCCAGCCAGCCTGGTGCCTGGCACAGCAAGTGGCCACAGGAAGGTGGTGCCCACGTCAGAGAGGAGCCAGCCTCACCCAAGGGGTAAGGGCCTCCTGTCTGTCCCTACCCCAGATCCATAGGCTGCCCCCACCACCTGCGCCTCCAAGTCCCTGGAAGCCCAGCCACTCAGGGCCACCCTCTGCCAGTCCAGCCCAACCTCTGCCCTGTATCGTCAGACCCTACGGCAGGCAGGCTTGGGGGAATAGTCCAAGAGGGTCCGCCTCCCCCAGGCTAGGACTCCCCTGAAACCATGAGCCTGGAGGAGAAGCTGGAGAGTGGGGTGGGGGTGCCCTGGTCCTACTCAGCCCATCAGACTGTCCCCCATCCCCAGCGCTCCTCCTTCCAGCTGCACCCCAACTCCTGCATCCCATCTGGAGACTTCTGTGTTTGCTGCTTGAGAGAGTGGGCTTTAACAACCTGAGCAAGGATCTGCCGCACCCCACCCACCTTCCCGGGGAGCCACCCCAACTTCCCCCTTCAGCCCCCAGCCCAGATGACAGAGTGGAGTAGCAGGAGAGCAAAGGACAACCCCGAGCCCACCCTGAGTGAGTGACCTCCAGGCACAGCACCCCATCCCACTGCCGTCTGCAGGACTGCTGCCCAGGGCCTGGCCTGGGTGGGTCAAGGGCCCTTGGGGCATCAGGAGGCATGCGGGCTTGGGCTGCCAGCTCCAGGTCAGGGAAACAACACCCCCTGCCTGGCTTGCTCTTCCGGGCCCTTGGGAGCGGTGGGAAGCTCCTGGTCGCCAAGGGGACCTGGACCCCTCAAACCAACCAGGGCCGCTTCCCGGAAGCGTGAGCACGTGCACATGACTGTGTACACACATCTCAGGGGAGTCTGCAAAACGCCACTTTGGCAGGACATGAAACCACTTGCCTGGAGAGAGGCCTACCACGAGGCAGACAATGTCTGGCAAAGCAGACAGACCCTTCCGCCGTAAATATTTACCAACTCCCTGGGCTACGTGCTGCTCCACCCAGTGACCGGGCTGGTCAGCCACCCTCCCCGATGGTCCCTAAGGCTAGTGACCCTTGGAGACAGCGGATCAGACTGCAGCCCCTGCTGCAGCTCACATGGGACACCTCGCATGGGACAGTCACATGGGCCCCAGCCACGGCCAGGAGCCAGTTTTTGCAAGGCCAGGGTGGATGAGGGACATAACTACCAGGCTGATATCCACTCCTCACCTTGTGTGGTCCCCGAGAAGCCCAGGCTCCAGTGCAGCTGGGTAGGGGAGGGGCCCGGTGGGGGCCCACGTGTGAGCTCCATGCTCAAGCATCCTCTCCCTCCTCACCTGTTCCTTCGTGCCCCTGGGGGGGCGCACAGCCCAAGCTCCTCAACCCTGGGGCAGCCTGTGTTGGGTTTGTTGGGGAAATGCTCACTGGAGGGACACGAGCAAGACCCCTCGTCCAGCCTCTCAGGTGTCATCAGAGCCTCGCCTGCTCTGGACCAGGATGCAGACCCGTGCCACCCCACCCAGCCCCACCAGAGCCATGCAGCAAGCCCACCAGCCCAGGAATCAGACACAGCCATCATTGTGGCTGCAGGAGAAACGGCGGCCACCACAGAGCTGTAACATGTGTTGCCTGGCCCGTGGCTGGTCACGTAAGGGTGGAGCAAGGAGGGCTAGACACTGGTCCAGCGAAGGGGAGGGAGGGCTGGGAGCTCAACACGGTAAAGCCGGAGCTTCTGTGGGATTTTACAGGAGTGGGCCAGCCACGAAAGCCTCCTCAACACTGGCCATAGCCTCCATGGCCACGGGAGGGCCAGCTGGACGATGCATTTGAGAAACCTTCCACAGCTGGCCTGGAGGCCTCGGCCATGAGCATCATGGGAGGGAACAAGACACATTAACAAGGCCGGGAGCCCTCCAGAGTCAAAATGAGGCTGGGATCCCCATATACCCTTGGCACCGACCCCAGGAAACCCTGCAAGCCACTGGCCGCCGTGGGCACCAAGGTGGGGAGGCGACCATGCTCACCTGGAGTGAGACAGCCCAACAGAGGAAGCAGCTGCACCCTGGCTTCAGCCCAGAGCCAGGCAGACGGGACAGCAGCCGCCACAGAGCCAGGGGCCCACACTGCTCCCTCAGAACCTGGAGGTGGCCCTGCTGGGTTTCGGGGAGTAGAGTCCCAGACACCGGGCTGGGCAATGCCAGGAAAGGATCCAGAGCCCCTCCTGAGCCTTCCCAGGAAACCGAGATCCAGAACATGGACCCCCAACATGGGCTGCACACGGCCAGGCAGCATGGCTCCCCAGCAGATGGACGTTCCCCAGAAGTGCCCAGGCACCCCTCCAGGAAGCTGAGGCACCAGTCACCTTGAAAACGCTGCACCTGCCCCGCCCAGGCCAGCCTGGAGAAACGTCCAGTCACAGGAGCCTCCCCAGCATGGCCACCCACCCACCCTCCAGCCCAGGGACCACAGGGCTTCTGGCTGCTTCCAAAATAGTGCTCTTTCCTCGCAAGCTGTGTGTGTGGGGGGGGGGGGGGGGGNGTGGGGGTGTGCAGCTGATGTGACCTCATTCCTGTTTTACAAACACACCTACACCCACACACATGTGGGGCCAGGACAGACTAAGAGATGCACGTCTCCGGGGAAACAACACGCTAACTTCCCCTTGGCCGGCAGGGCTCAGCCTCGGCACTCCTGACCCCAGGGTGGGACCGTCATGGTAGAGGGGCTGTCCTTTCCTCCACCTGCCCCATCCTCCCAGCTCAGCTTCCACAACTCACACTCTCCAGACGCCGTGAGGGCCCCAGGAGGGAGACGAAACACCCCCAGCTGAGAACCACAGTGAGAACTGCACAGGTGTGATGGGACAGCAAACATTTAAAACAAAGGTCACGCCCCTGCTTCCCGGGGCAGACCCAGCAGGTTCAAGTCCTGAAGACCTAGCCCGAGAGGCTGGATGGCACACCCCCTCGGAGGAGGGAGGGACGGAAGGCCCTCCTCACCCCGCCCCACCCAGCTCTGCAATCAGGCAGATTCCAGAACCTGCCAGAAGAGGAGAGGTAGGCAAAGGCACTCCCTCTGCTTGCTTTTGAAATAAAATCTTGAGTAATAGAGGTTTCACACGGGCTCGGGGGCAGGCAGCAGCCACTTATAGGTGGGACCTCGGCAAGCTGAGCGCCCGCTTTCACCCTTCTACATGGATGGCCAGCACCTCTCCCTGCAGTGTCCCTCCTCCTCCTCACAGGCCAGCTCACCACGGGGTCTACCCACACCCACCAGGCCCCAGGTGGCCGCTGAGCAGGGGTGTACAGTCTGGGAATAGCCTCCATGGTGGTCACACCCCAAGGGCAGTGTCGGAGCCTTGACCTCAGATGTGGGGCACTGGTGGGGTGGGGGGGGCCTGTGCCCTGGGACCAGGACAACCCCGCCCCGGCCACACTGCCCCCTCCCTGCACTCCATGCTGCTCTGGGGCTGAGCCAAACCCTGACCCCCACATGGGGCCTCGGGACCCCTGCACGTACCTGCGCTCGTGGCTGACACACCAGGCTTGCCGCCCGCAACCCGGCCTCCACACGGGCACTGTGCGGCTGAAGGCCCGCACGCAGGGCTGGCGGCGGCCCACCAGGGTCAGCTCCTGCTCCGCACACACATGGGGCCTGGGACAGAGATAGACGGTCAGCAACCCCATCACCAACTCCAACCCCCCTGCAAGCTCACTCTCGGGGGTCCAGCTGTCCAGACCTGAGGCCAGGCCCCAGGTGAGAGCACCCAGCCCGGTGCCCACCCCAGGCCTGCACAGGCCGAGACTCGAGGGCATGGAATATTCAGGAGAAAAAGGATGCACAGGGGTGCCTCTGAGCCTCCCCCTCAAACCTCAGCCACATGGGCTGCTGCTGACCAGCGGGATGACCACGACGAGGCGGCACGGCAGGCCTTCAGGCACATCTACTCTGGTCACTCTCCCGTCCACTGCCCCCTGTCCCTGCCCCCCGAGGCCCCTGCGTGACTCTGGTCCCCGAGGCCGGCAGGCAGGCCGCCTGGCTACTGCATGCTGAAAACCATTCAAGGGAGGAGGGGCGAGCCTGGAACGACTTTCTCCTCTGGGAAGTTTCCGGCACCTCAGAAGCACAAGCGGAGCTGGCTTTTCCATTTGGAAAGAGGGAGGAAGTGGGGTGGGGGAGGGAGGGCGGAGGGGGAAACAAAGAAGCAGGTGGGAGGAGGCATAGAAAAGACTCCTGACGTTGCGGAGCAGGGTGGGCAGGAGTCCATGCTCCTGCCCCTCTGCTCCTGAAACAAACCCACTGCCCATCTGGGGGAAGGGAGGTGCTTCCTCAACAGCAAAGTGAGCAGAGCTTGGTAGGGGGCAGTGCTCATCCCAGCCTGGGCCATCTGCTCCCCAGGACAGAGCGGGGCTCCTGGAGCTGCAGGTGAGGGTGGGCGTGAGATACACCCCTCTGGGGTGGGCAGTTCCTGGACCCCAAGAACAAAGCGGCAGGGTGAAGAGGTGAGCATGAAACTGGGACACGGGGCAAGGGAGCCAACCGTGCACTCGCAGCTGGGGAGTCCTGACTGCACACACCCCCAGGTCTAGGAGGGGGCTGGGTTGCTGAGACGTGTCTCTGTCCTGTCTGTTTTTACAGGCTCCATTTTTAGTGGCCTCCTGGCTTGGGTGCAGTATGCACGAGGGCACGCTCGGCGCTCTGAGGTTGGACGAGCCCAGGTCCAGCCTTGAGGTCCCAAGGATGCTGTGACCCGGGCAGACCACCCTCAGACACGTCGTAGGTCCCCCCACCAGACAAATGGACAAAAGATCGCAATGTCAAGCTCACGCCCAGCACCAAACACACAGCCTGGCCTGGCATGGGGCAGCTAGTGCCCCTTTCCTGCCCTTTCCCTCCACCCAGCACGGCCTCTGCCCCCAGGAAAGGCGGACAGGCAGGGCCCAGTGACTGGGAGCTGCTCACAGGCCACTGAAAGTACAGTTCAGCTTTCAAGCTCCCTGACCAGTGAGCAGGGGCCTTCAAATGGCCGGGGGAAGCCTCAGCGAATGGGGGCCATGCAGTGCTCAGGGCCAGTGGGTTCACGAATCACTTGTAAGTGGGGACTTGAGCTTGGAGGGCCTGTCCCTCTCCAGATGGGAGGGGTCAGTCTAATGAGCTGATTCTGGAATACTGGACATTTTCCTAGCACAGCTGTCCAGAGGACTCCAGCCCCGGGAAAGCAGGGCTGTGAGAAGATGCCTCCTCTGAGCTTTGCAGCCGTGGGCTGAGGTAGGTTAGAGCTCCCCATGCCCAGACACTGCTCCCACAGCCCTGTCTTGACCAGCCCGGCACACTGTCAGCAGTCAGCCCAGGCCCTGGGGAGAAAGACCAGCATCTTTCCGCAGCAGAAGAGGTTCACTTCGGAGATGTAAGTAAATAAATAAGTGTTGGCTGGTTTGGAATCTGGACCCGTCAGCCAGCAAGAGCCAAAGGACCAGCCACATCACCCCTGCAGGTTCCCAGGGTCCTGGAGACACCAGTCAGTGGGAACCCCCCTTAGAGTATCCTCCCGCCTCACCTTCCCACAGGCCCACCACGGGGGTGTTGAGCCAGCCAGGGAGGGTGGAGCTGCCCGTGAAGGGAAGTGACACAGGTGCTAGGACCTTCTGGGGCCCTCACTGCTCTCCAGGCCCCCCTTTTGGGGTGCAGGCAGCAAGGAGCCAATTCTGGGGCCTCCAAGAGCCCACTGGCTCCTGCCTCCTTTCTGGGCAGAATGAGCTGCAGGATGGGCCCATTCACAAGGTTTCTCAGAAGTCTAGCAAAAGAGCACCTCCAATCATTCAGCCAGCCAGCACACCCACTGTGGCCCTACCAAGGGTCTGGGAAGGTGGCAGGTGCTTACAGACACGACTGGGAAGGTCTGCTGCCAGGCAGCAAGGAACTCAACATGACAAGGGGCATCTGACAGTGGAGTGGCTGCACCCCAGGACAAGAAACATGGGCACAGGCCCCCGAGGACAGCCACCCCCCAACACACTGGTGGGACGCTCCCCAGGAGGAGGACTGGTGGGTGGGGCCTTGAAGGGTCTGCAGAGCAGAGGTGAGGGGCGGGGAGGAGGCTTTGGGAAAAGAGGGCCGGAGGAAGTCTGAACATCCCTGCAGTCCCCCGGCCGCTGGGAGAAAGCCCTCCCCAGCCTGGGTGAGCCCTGGCTGAATGGGCACACCTCAAAGGACAGGCTCACTCCCTGGGGCCAGGGAAGGGCGACCTGTGGTCCCCACCAGCCCACTGGGGCAGAAGCCCCTCTTAAGAGCAGAGTCCTCTGTGTTCAGCATCCACCCTGACCAGCACCCAGGGATTCTGGGGAGCCTGGGCCAACCACATGAAGAGCAGGCAGGCTGAGCAGCCGAATGGCCCCGTGTTAATCCCTTCTGAGGCCACCACTTCCCCTGGACAAACTAAACTCCCTGGGGTCACAGCAAAGAGCGATGTCGGGGGAGAAGTCACGTGGAGAGTCGGGGCTCAGGCCCCAGACCTGCTCCTTTAAAAGGCCACAGAGAAATCGTCTTTTCCGGGGTCCTGGGGGCATAGACTTGCCCCCTCCCCAGCTCTGCCTGGAAGCCTGTCCCTTCCGTCTGTACAGCCAGGTGCACCCAGTCCTCGGGGCAGGCGCAGCCCCGCACAGGAAGCCCCTGCCCAGGCCCCTCGCCATCCCCTGCAGCCCCTCAGCAGCCTTTCCAAGCTCCGAGGGCCCCAGGCCCAATACCCTGCGAAGAGCGCAGGGGCGCCAGCAGGCCCTCCCCCCACCCTCCTCCTCCAGATCGGCTCACTTCGCACCAGTTTCCCTCTGAGGCCAACACAAGGATCGATTTGCTGTTTAAAAGAGACCGCTAAACGGCCCGCTGGGGAATCATCTTTCAAAATTAAATTCATCTCGGCTGGCTCCCTGACCCTCTCTTCCTGCCCATTCTGTAACTGAATTCCTTCTCCTCTCTCCCAGCCCCAAAGCCCGCGTATTTAACACAGAAACCAAGCCCAAGCGGCCCCCTGGCTGGGCACAGGACCCCGGCCCCAGGAGACAGGCTCTGGAAGGAAGTGGGCACTGGCTGCTTCCTCTCAGCCTTCTCCAAGCTGCCAGGCCAGACCTGCCCAGACTCCCTCACCTCGAGGGGCGCCGATTCCTCCCAACGTGCAAACTCGCGGTCAGAGTTCAGGCAGACGAGGAAGGGGAAGGGGAGAGGCCGGGTGGCCCTACCACGGAGGCTCCCCCAGACCCAACCCCCGACCCTTGTCTCTTAACCTCCCCCTCCCCAGTTAAGGCAAAGAGCCATTGGTTCTTAAGGGCTCCGGGGAAAAGCCGCCCAAGACGCGGGGTCTCTGGACATCCCGCCAGCCTCCCGCGCCCGCTCAGGCTACTCACATGCCCGGTTGCAGGCGGAGCGGGGCGCCGGCGCCCGTGGACACTGCGGGGAGCAGCAGCACCAGGGCCAGGGCCACCGCGCGCCTCGCCGCCCCCGCCTCCGGAAGGAAAGGCATCGTGCCCGCGGCGCCGCGCCGGGTCCCTCCTACGGTCCCGCGCTCACAGGCGGCCCAGGCGGGCGCTCGGAGCCGCCTCCTCCACGTGCAGCATGACCCGGGGCAGCCACAGGTGCCGCGCCCTGTTCCGCCGAGCGCGAGATCGCCGCAGGTGGGCAGGGCCCCGGTTTCGAGCCCGCGCCGGAGGGCAACGCGGAGTCCTGTGCGCCCGAATGCGTCCAGCCAGACACCCACCCCGGCGCGGGGAGCCCAGGGTACGCGGAGCCCAGCTAGGGAGAGGCCCACCTCCGCCACGCCCCCTGCTCCGACCCCAGCCCCGACTCCGCCCACCGCCGGGACAGACCCGATCCCTCCTACCCCGGCCTCGCCCCGCCCCCGGCACGCCCCCGGGCCCGGACCCCGGCCCACAGTCCGTCCCCGTACAGACACTCCGCCCCCCGGCCCGCAGCCCCGCCCACAACCCGCCTAGGTCCACGCCCCCAGCCCCGGCTGCCCATTTGAGCTTCCCACTCCTCTCCGGCTGAAAGTCCCAGGTTCCGTGAGATTCGGGAGACCAAGGGCCGGAGCACCAGAGATCTCGCCCCTCACCCCCTGGAAAGGCAGTCCTCCAGGACGCCGGACCCATCTCGCCCCTCACCCCCTGGAAAGGCAGTCCTCCAGGACGCCGGACCCCAGCCCCTGTTATCCTCGAGGCACGGGGTGTGTCTCTGTCGGGCAAGTCCCACTGCCACCCTGATGCACAAATGGGGGAACTAAGGTCAGAGCGCAAGCAGCACCCCCCAAGTCGCCCCTAATAAACTGCAGATCCTGGAACTGGACAGGGCGAGCTGTCTCTGGGACCTTCACTATACCTGTGCATCTAAGAAAACCACCGGATCATGGAGAGTAGAGAGAAGTCCGGCCAGTCCAGTGGCCCCTCAGGGTGTCTGGGTCAACACGTCCAGACGGTGGTTTATCTCCTTCTGGACACTGGATGCCCAAGGTCAAGATGTGGACTCTCTGGGTTCCTGGGGAGGCCTTCTTCCTGGCCTGCAGAGACTGCTTCCTGGTGTGAGCTCGCCTGGGGAGCAAAAGGGTGAGAGAGACAGCAGCTTTGGTGTCTGCTTCTTAGAAGAAGCCAGACACGTGGGGCCAGGGCCCCACCTCATAACCTCATTTACCTTTAGTCATCCTCCTTGGGCTTCCCCGGTAGCTCAGCTGATAAAGAATCCTCCCGCAATGCGGGAGACCTGGGTTCCATCCCTGGGTTGGGAAGATCACTGGAGAAGGGAAAGGCTGCCCACTCTAGTATTCTGGCCTGGAGAGTTCCATGGACTGTATAGTCAATGGGGTCTCAAAGTCAGACACAACCGAGGGACTTTCACTTTCACCTCCTTAAACGCTGGTCTCCATATACAGTCACACTGAGGAGTAGGGCTTCAACCTATGGATAAGCAGAGACATTACTTTGCCTAGAGAGGTCCATGTAGTCAAAGCCATGGTTTTTCCAGTAGTCATGTGAAAGCTGGACCATAAAGAGGGAAGAGCGCTAAAGAATTGATGCTTTTGAACTGTGGTGTTAGAGAAGACTCTTGAGAGTCCTTTGGACTGCAAGGAGATCAAACCAGTCAATCAATCATAAAGAAAATCAACCTGAATAATATTCATTGGAAGGACTGACGTTGAGGCTGAAACTGCAATACTTTGGCCCCCTAATGGGAAGAGCTGACTCATTAGGAAAGACCCTGATGCAGGGAAAGATTGAGGGCAGGAGAAGAAGGGGATGACAAAGGATGAGATGGTTGGATGGCATCACCAACCAACTTGATGGACATAAGTTTGAGCAAGCTCCAGGAGATAGTGAAGGACAGAGAAGCCTGGCATACTATAGTCCATGGGGTCAGAAAGAGTTGGACACAACTGAGCGACTGAACAAAAAAACAGTTCAGTCCACAGCAGGGTGATTTCACCATCTTCTGAGACCCCAAACACAAGTCAGTGCCCCTACTCAGTGATGCCCCAGACATGGTCCCGTGTGCCCTCTGCTCAATCTCACCCTCACCCCCACTGGCATCCAGTGGCAGGACTGGTCCAACCCAGGGCCCGTGCTCCTTCTGGGCTCTCTGACACCTGGTATCTTGAGAGCCTGCCCTAAGACAGCCCTCAAGTTCCCGAGTGAATGTGAGGCCCTGCCTGGGGCCCTCTCCACCAGAGAGTTTCCTGGTGGTCCACCTGCTGTCCACCTTCAAAGGCCTGGCCCCCCTCCCCTCCAGAGCTGCACTTGACACGAAACAGCTGGATAAGTGTGTGCTGAGTGAGTGAGCAGCTTCACGTGTTCACCAGCTCCTCCAGGGACCCCATCCCAGCCCCCTCAACATGGGCTGAGGGGGCTGCATCCTTTCAGAGCATTCTCCGGCTACTCAGAAGAGGGAAGAAAGAATCTGGGTGGGTTAATCTGTGGGTTAAAATGGAGGCTGCTAACAGGGAGGCTCCCCAAGTATGATGGGCCCTAAAACAAATAAGACGGGTCCTTCTTTAAGAAAAGTTTTGGGGCTTCCCTGGTGGTTCAGTGGTAAAGAATCCACCTGTCAATGCAGGAGACACAGGTTCGATCCCTGGTCTGAGAAGATCTCACATACCATGGAGCAACCAAGCACATGTGCCACAACTGTTGAGCCTGTGCTCTTGAGCCCACGCACTGCAACTACTGAAGCCTGTGTGCCTAGAGCCCGAGCTCTGCAACAAGAGAAGCCACTGCAATGAGAAGCCCATGCACTGCAACTAGAGAATAGACTCCACTCGTTGCAACTAGAGAAAAAAACCCATGCAGCAACGAAGACCCAGTGCAGCCCAAGAGTAAAATGAATAAAATAAAAAATAATGATAAAAGAAGAAAAGTTATGTGAAAATAAATTATTTTGCTAATTTGATGAAAATATATGACCTATGCTTACATCCCAGCCCCCTTCCTGCCCTTAACTTGGAAGGGCCCCTGAAGCATAAATGTTTGGGGATCATTATAATCCACGTCTACTCACCCCACTGTCGCTGGCACCAAGTTCAGTTGCCAGGCAGGAGGGGAAGGGGCCAACAGAGGATGAGATGGTTGAATGGCATCACTGACTCGATGGACATGAGTTTGAGCAAGCTCTGGGAGTCAGTGATGGACAGGAAAGCCTGGCGTGCTGCAGTCCACGGGGTCACAAAGAGTTGGACACAACTGAGCAACAGAACTGAACTGAATCAAATAGTACGTATGTGTTCGTTGTTATTGCTTAGTTGCTAAGTCATGTTAGACTCCTGTGCCTCATGGACTATAGCCCACCAGGCTCCACTGTCCGTGGGATTCCCCAGGCAAGAATACTGGAGTAGGTTGCCATTTCCTTCTCCAGGGGATCTTCCTGACCCAGGAATCAAACTCATGTCTCCTGCATTGGTAGGCAGATTCTTTACCACTGAAGCCCACATAATGTGTTTAGTACACTTTTGTAAATGGATTTAACTCAAACAACTTTTTTAGTAATTCATCTAAACAGAATGTAATACGTATTCCCTAAGAATTTTCCATCTTTGTCCATTTTCATGATAAAGTGACAGTTTATAGGACATCGCAAACATTTTCCTGGTCTGTAGTTTCAGTCTTGAGGTGGTTGGTGATGCCTCCAGCAATGTAAGTTTCTGAGTGTGTGTCCTCAAGCCTACAGCCTGCCCTATTTCCCTGGTGCCTAGAAATGGGCGCTGAGTTGGGGAAGATCAGGAATACAGTTTTCTTTCTTTATGTCACCTTGGCATACAAGAAGGATTTCTTATCTCTCCTTGCTATTCTCTGGAATTCTGCGTTCAGTTGAGTATATCTCTTCCTTTCTCCTTTGTCTTTCACATCCCTTATTTTCTCAGCTGTTTGTAAGCCCTCCTCAGACAACCACTTTGCCTTCTTGCATTTCTTTTTCTTGGGGATGGTTTTAGTCACCACCTCCTGTACAATGGTATGAACCTCCGTCCATAGTTCTTCAGGCACTCAGCCAACCAGATCTAATCCCTTGAATCTATTTATCACCTCCACTGTATAAGCATAAGGGATTTGATTTATGTCATACCTGAACGGTCTAGTGGTTTTCCCTACTTTCTTCAATTTAAGCCTGAATTTTGCAATAAGGAGCTCATGATCTGAGTCACAATCAGCTCCTGGTCTTGTTTATGCTGACTGTATAGAGCTTCTCCATCTTTGACTACAAGTAAATAATCAGTTTGATTTCATTAGTGGTCAATTGGTGATGGCCATATGTAGAGTGGTCTCTTGTGTTGTCCAAAGAGGGTGTTTGCTGACCCTCTGTTGACCAGCCTGTTCTCTTGACAAAATTCTGTTAGCCTTTGCCCTGCTTCATTTTGTACTCCAAGCCAAAATTTGTCTGTTATTCCATGTATCTCTTGACTTCCTACTTTTGCATTCCAGTCCCCTGTGATGAAAAGGACATCTTTTATGGTGTTAGTTCTAGTAGGTCATGTAGGTGTTCATAGAGCCAATCAACTTCTTTGGCATTAGTGATTGGGGCATAGACTTGGAGGCAATCTTGGCTTTCCTTGGAAACAAACCAAGATCATTCTGTCATTTTTGAGGTTGCACCTAAGTACTGCATTTCAGACTCTCTTGTTGATTATAAAGGCTACTCCACTTCTTCTGAAAGATTCTTGCCCACAGTAGTAGATATAATGGTCATCTGAATTAAATTCACCCATTCTCGTTCATGTTGGTTCACTGATTCCTAAGATATCAATGTTCACTCTTGCCATCTCCAGCTTGACCACTCCAATTTACCTTGATTCATGGACCTAACATTCCAGTTCCTGTGCAATATTGTTCTTCATGGCACTGGACTTTACTTTCACCACCAGACACATTCACAACTGAGCATTGTTTCTGCCGTGGTCCAGCCACTTCATTCTTTCTGGAGCTATTAGTAATTGTTCTCCAATCTTCCCCAGCAGTATACTGGACAGTTTCCAACGCGGGAGGTTCATCT